CGGCGAACTCGGAACTATCTAAATTTGGCATATTCCGACCTTGATAATTCATCTCAAGTATTTGAACTTCGGAATGCAGCAAGGAATCTACTGCAGGGAGAAGCCGATGTGACAGAATACTACACCTCACGGTAAAGATCCGGGAAATTAGATCTTCATGATGACTGTTCTATGGCTCATGCTACATGTACCAAGAAATATCGGGACCGAATGGCAAAAGAGAGGGCATACGATTTCTTGGCAGGTCTAAATAGAGATCTTGATGAGGTTCGAGGTCGTCTTCTTGGAATCAAACCATTACCATGTATAGGGGAGATTTTTTCTGAAGTCAAGCGTGAAGAATCAAGGAAGCGAGTGATGTTAAGCAGCAACAAATCTGATATAACAGCCCCAGAATCATCAGCCCTTGTTTCTCATCGTAATGATCACAACAAGGCTGATCAAAGAGGAGAACTGAGGTCAAACAAACACCAAGGAAATCTCTGGTGTGATTATTGCCAAAGAACTAATCATACTAGGGACAAATGCTGGAAACTCCATGGCAAGCCTGGAGATTGGAAAAATAATAGACCTCATAACACTAGAGGATACTCAGCTTCTACGGATGTGTCACCGAAGCATGAAGATATTCCGATCCAGCTTCCCCTCAATAAGCAGCAGATAGAGCAATTATATAAATTGCTCACTCCCCCGACAACTCCACAAAATCCTCTTGCTGCAAGCACTTCTCTCGCTTGCTCGGAAAGGTACTTTTTAATCTGCTCTCCTGGGGGATCTACCGGTTGTGATCCATGGATAATAGATTCGAGCTACTCGATCATATGACTGGATCGAGAAAATATTTTTTCTACATATCAACCAAGTCCGGGTAACATTAAAGTGAAAATTGCAGATGGTTCCCTTGCCACTATTGCAGGGTCGGGTACTGTCCATTTGAGCCCGACAATTTGCTTAGTAAATGTTCTCCATGTCCCTAAGTTGACTTGCAATCTCCTTTCCATTAGTAAGCTCTCAAGGGATTTGAATTGTATGGTTCGGTTCTCACCATCTATTTGTGAATTTCAGGACTTGAGTTCGAGGAAGAGGATTGGCAGTGCTAAGGAACACGGTGGACTTTATTATTTTGTTTCAGATTTCTTCATTAATAAAAATGTTTTCAATGTTAGTTGTGAATCTTTTCCAATGACTCGTGAAAAACATCTCATGTTATTACATTTCAGACTTGGACATCCAAGCTTTGGATATATGAAACAATTATTTCCATCATTATTCCTTTCAAGTGATGTTTTTCAATGTGATATATGCCAATTAGCTAAACATAAGCGCTCTTCCTACTCATCTCATGAACATATCCCATCCTCACCATTTTCTTTGATACACAGTGACTTATGGGGACCTTCACGTGTTACAACTAATACGGGAAAAAGGTGGTTCATTACTTTTATAGATGATCATACCCGTCTTACTTGGGTATATCTATTAAAAGACAAGAGTGAAGTTTCTCATATCTTTCAAATATTCCATACCATGGTTAAAACTCAGTTCGGTACTAATATCAAAATCTTTCGTACTGATAATGGTACAGAATACTTCAACTCCACTCTTGGGAAATACTTGGAATCCAACGGCATCATTCACCAAAGTTCTTGTGTCCGTACCCCAAAACAGTGTTGCTGAACGCAAAAACAGACACTTGTTAGAGGTAGCCCGTTCCCTCATGTTTACAACTAATGTACCTACATATCTTTGGGGGGATTCTATCCTTACAGCTTGTTACCTAATTAACCGGTTACCCTCACGAGTTCACAAGTATGAGACACCAATCAACATTCTTTGCAAAACTTTCCCAGATCACCAAATTGTCTCCTCCTTACCACTGAAAGTTTTCGGCTGCAAGTGTTTCATTCATATCACTGATCCTTCTCGTTCAAAGCTTGAACCTCGAGCCATTCCATGCATATCTCTCGGTTACTCCTCCACAAAAAAAGGTTACAAGTGTTTTATTCCCCAACATAAAAAATATATTATCTCTATGGATATTACCTTTTTTGAACAGCAACCTTTTTTCAAGAATTCTCTTCAGGGGGAGAAACCAGTAAATATAGAGGAAGACAATTCTTGAGACACAATCACTAAATCCTTTACGCTCACTGAATCTGTCCCTACCGTCCCTACATTGCCTACAATGCCCGAATCACTATCTCAACCTATCACTCTATCCACTATACCAAGGAGGAAACAACAATTATATTTGCCTTTCTAACAAATATTCATGTTTTCTTATGACTAGTCGTCTCTATCTTTCCAACACTCTCCATTCGAGAAACATGAATATCTATTGGAAAGGGAAATACAATTGTTATTTCCTTCTTTATTGATTTGATTTCCAAATTTAGTAGGAGATTTGGCTTAAATCAATAAAGAAGGAAATAACAACCGTATTTATCTTTCATACATATATTCATGTTTTTTGGACGGGGAGTGTTGGAAAGATAGGGACGACTAGTCAGCCAAGTCCAAATTTAATTAGACAAATGGCTCAAATCGATAAAGAAGGAAATAACAACTGTATTTGCTTTTCCAATAGATATTCATATTTCTTGTAGGGGGAGTGTTGGAAAGATAGGGACGAGTAGTCAGTAGAGTCCAAGTTTAATAGTAGATTTGGCTCAAATCGATAAAGAATGAAATAACAACCATATTTACATTTCCCACAGATATTCATGTTTCTTGGAGGGGGAGTGTTGAAAAGACAAGGACGACTAGTCAACAGAGTCTTACTTTAGTAGGAGATTTGGCTTAAATCGATAAAAAAAGAAATAATAACTGTATTTGCCTTTCTAACAAATATTCATGTTAATCTTCAGAGATATATTTTATCTTTTTTAAAGATAATGAAATCCTCTAAGTGATATAAAGAATTAAGGGTTTTCATTGTGGAAGTAGGGTCCCAAGGGTCCTCTCCTTGGTTGATTGATTCAAATCCTTTCTCATTCTTTGTGTGTGGGTGATTAATTAGAAAACTAACCCGGTACTCGTTCAAGCGGCGGAATTGGGACTTGCTGGCCAACGTGATGGTGTTGGAGACTAGCCTCTTCTGCAGCGCTCTCACCATTTTCGCATGCTTTTGTCCATTGACTGATCCAGGGAAACCACATTGAGTATTCTTTGCAAATGAAGAGATGTCAAAGGGGTTTCTTACTTCCCTAGTCTCGCTGAGAAGATGAAAAATCCCCGTGGCTAGATCTAGTCTGGGCAAGGGCGTTGTGGTTAGCGACATCACCGCTGGCCTTTCTGGGAAGACAAACAATAAAGAAGGGGAAAAAATAAATTAAAAAAGAAAAGAAACCAAAATAATTATAAAATTTCTCAAAAGGACGCCCACCATGGTCCACATTATCACCGATCGTGCTATGTAAGATGGCTGGCGCTGACTGAACCGCCACGTTAATGATTTTTTGCCTAAATTGATCAAATGAAATACATTGGAAAATTGTACAAATGTTTAGATTTAAATTTGCTAAATTGCCCGACAAAAAAAATTGGTTAAATTGGAAAATTTAAGACTAAATTAGCTTTCATATAATACGTTTAGAATTTTTTGGACAATTTTCCCCACAAAGAAGAGTGAAAACAGTTGTCTACTAGTTTTAATGAATGCATTTGGTTTTATTATAACTTTAATATTTGTCATTACATTATAGTATGTATATTTAACTACTCAACTTTCATTTTAGGTGAATCTATTTTCTAATTTTTTAAAATTATTTTTCATGCCATCAACTACATAATTTTTCAAAAGAAATTTTCAAAGAAAATAAAAAAAAATGACAAAGTTAAGTACATTAAAAATGATAATAATCCATTATGATTATGCAAATTCAAAGAAAATGCTCCTTAAAACATTATTACATGGAATATTATCTTTGTCTTGATTACATGAATAATTAGCAATTGACAAGAAAACTATGGTAATTGTAATTGCATTATAAGGTAACAAATTCAAACCATTGCAAATACATATCTTTTGTCAATTCTAAAAGCATCAGAGAACCAATTAAAGAAAAGGTAAATTATCTTCACTACTATAATAATAACAAGTGATTGGGTCCTGTGAAATATTACCTTTCATAGTAGCTGCACTACAAAAAATAATATAATAAAAAATGAGTAAATTGTATATATGCATACATTATAAACAATAATCAATCATTGAGTAAATTATCGTAAAGTTGTACTGAAAATCAAAGTAAAAAAATTCACGCACAACATAATAAGTAAACAATGTGAAAATAAAACTAACATTTCTTTACTCTAGTATATGATTAATGCTTGCTCAAATTACAACTATTGGTTAAACTCTCATTTATGTGGACAATGGAGAATTAGTTCAGAACAAGATAAACACGAAGGAACAATAAAATATAATGAGTGTGTAAGAAACGGTCAAGGTGAAAAAAAGTTATTTGAGAAGGGCATTGATAGTTTTGTCTTTTAGTAAAATTGAAACCAAACAAAAAAAGAAAAAGAAAAAAGGTAATAATCTTAAGTGAAGACTAAGACCTGCAAGGAATAAAATGATGAATTTAAAAGGATAGGGATGTCAGGAGTCAAAAATAGAGTGAAAAATGCGCGACCCTTGAAAAAGAATTATGTCAAAAAAACTCATTCAACACCACCCAAATGTTAGGCCGAGTTGAGCAAGGCTTACTCCCATATGATTTGAAGCCCCCTTAATTCACGAGTAAAAATCCCCCACCCGCTTCTAGATTTCAGGAAGTCCTAATTTATCTGTGGCATATATTCAACCCGTGCACCCCAATTAGCAAACCTCCAACTTTATTCCAACTTGCATTCGGAGATGCGGTCGCAACAGGCTCGCTCAAAATGTACAGTATGTCGAACCGAACATTTCAACTGCTAGTAACGCTCAAGAGGGGATCGCCAACACCGGTCGCCCTGTCTCACCTTTTTTCCCAATCATAAGGGAAAACAAGAACTCATCAAGCATGGAAGAATCAATTCACCCACATACAACTGTCTAAGTCAGTCTAAGTTTGCCCTTGTAATATATGCCCCTGCCGGGGATTCGGGCCTTTGGGGTTGACCCAAAACAACAACCGAAAAGGAAGGAAAGATCTGGAAGCCGAGCAAAACTTGCAAAAGCCTATAGGAACTTTTTGGATTTCACTTCTGATTTGGAAAAGAAGAAAATCAAAGTAAGTTTTGGTTTAATTATGAACCAAGACACGTATAATCAGTAAAGCAACGAAGAAACGAAGATGTTCTCCGTTGCATCGATTCATCTGAACCAGCTTTTGCCCGAGAAACCTCTTCTGGCTGCCCGACTAAATAGTCGTTAGAGAGCAAAGTCTCCGACGGTAGCTACAGCAGAGTATCTTCTGACTGGAAAAAGAAATTCAATGTCTTTTCAACTAAGTTGTTCCAATGGTTTGTTGCTGTTGACAAATGTTGCACTCTTGTCAAATCCTTCCAGCAGAAGGATCCGCAAAGCCGCTATACCTTGTTGAAATGTAAAATCCAACTGGGAAGATTTGGAAGTCAACAATCAGAACACGTCACAGTAACCTTCACTGTAGCATCACAGAAAAATATTTCTACATACCTCCTCACGCTCCTGTTTATTGAATGGTCGCATGACAAAGTTCACTGGGTCCATTTTACCAGGTGGCCTCCCAATACCTATTGGACACATGGTCGTTAAAACACAAAACAGGCATGTACTTGTCTTATAGTGCTTCAAAAACTCACCTATTCTTAATCGAGGAAAATCACGGCTCCCTTTTAGATGACTAATCACGCTTCTCATCCTGTGAAACCCCATTGAAAATCAGCAATATGTACAGAAGGAAATAATTCAATCAGCCATGAATGTCAATGATGCCTTCCTCAAAGTATTGAAAATATGTTTGTCCAACGAATTATGGGAGAAGTGAAAGGAAAAAGGATTGCAGAACTAGGTTCAGGTACCCGTTATGTCCACCATGTCCGCCCTTTGGCAACAAGCGCAATTTTGCAAAGGGCAAATCTAAGTCGTCAAAAACCTGCAGAAGTAAACATTGAAGATAAACATCGTAGCATCAGAAATTTCAAGCACTGCAAAGTTCAAATCAGTAACAAGATTTTACCACCAGTACTTGCTTCAATGGGATATTATAATATGAAACGATCGGTCCTACCTACAAAAGTTGGTCCATGTATCAGCCAAAACCATACAGATAAACAAAGACACTGGCACTATCAACAAAATACAAGTCCTTAAGGGGTAGCTTACAGACTCGCCACTAGCATTCATAAATGTTTGTGGTTTGGCAAGAATGACTGGGACATTCCCTATGAAACCTACAAACCAGATCAATTCCATCAGGAGTATGATTGATGAAGCAAATCTACGGGGAAAGAAGGCTTTTTCCATGTATGCATCGAAACCAAAGAATTACAAATCGACCTATCGTTTGACAGAGACAATAACAGAGACTCGTAACTAGAAGCAGCCTTACACAATGCTTATACCACTGGACCTCCAGGATTAGAATCCGGCCACCCTTAATTCCATTTCATATATCCAATTAAAATGACGCGCAATCTCCATTTATTTGACTCGGGGTGGCAGCAAAACTCATTCATTTTCGCTACTCTCAATTGAACAGAGTCCCCATTATCGTACCGACTACCTACTGATTATGAACCCTGACCTAAGTCGAGTCGATCCACAACGGGTCTAAACCTACCATTGCTTAAACAAATATAAACAGTCACCCACGTAGATTGGTATAACCACAACTTGGTCCTGCATCCCCCATTTCCATATGAACCTCAAAACTCGGAAAATGGTGTCACAATCGGACGCAACGTACTCAAATAGGCGCGAGAAACCGCGATCTTTCATCGTATCATTCTAGTAGAGTTTCCCCACGAGAAGAGAGTATGGCAAGCAAGCGAGACCTTTTCCAAAGAGGGCTTTGAACGAGACGCTGCTGATGGGTATCCCTCCGGCTTCGGCTACCGCGTCTACAAACTCGAAACCCACCTGAAACGAAGTTCGTTTTCTTTCACACATCACGCGGATCACATCGGCAGAGATCTTCTCTCGCGCACACACGCACACAAGAGGGGAGATAGAGGGCGCACGTTGTGGCGAGTCCCGCCGTACTTCTTGCCGGGGTTCCCGAGACCGACGATGAGCCAGGGATGCCGCTGCGGCGGCTTCTCGGCTTCGACGTCGCCGTCGACGGGCCTGGCCAATGACGCAATCGGTGCCGAAGAAGAAGACGGCGACGAGAACTGCTCCGACATCGTTCTCCGGCCGGTTCGGCGACGCGCGTGGCGGAGGGACGGCGAACCGGCGAGGTGGGAGTGGTACGAGGAGGGGAGGAAGAGGCGGTGGCGGGTCGGGAAGCGAAGGGCGGCGACGGACGAAGCGATGGCCGCGACTCTCATAGTTGCGATCGCGAATCGGGAACTTCCGAGGCTGTCGCGGGAGGATTTGCAAGGGGGGTAAAAAACCCTAATCTCAGATGGGATGTGACGGTGGTGAACGAAGAGGAGGAGGAGGGAAAATTATAAGGAAGACGACACAAATGCTCCTTAAATTGTGGCCAAATATGGACTTAGTTAATGAATTTTTGATTTGCTCGATATGATCTTTAAATTTTAGCATAATATATAATGTAGTTTCTAAATTTTTAAATTATTTAATGTGATCGTTAGATTTTCCATGAAATTGAATTAATGAAGGATATTATTGAACATTTTAGTATAATTCGGGGACTAAGTTGAGTATGTAACAAAAGTTCGAGGATCACATTAAATGAATTTAAAGTTCAAAGACCGCATTCACATTGGGCCAAAGTTCATGGATCGTTTGTGTCATTATCTCAAAATAATACTACCACTCCGGTTGTTTCGTGGAAAATATATCGTTTCTGGAAAACATTTTTCAAAAAGTCATTTTCCAGGAAAATGACACGATTATTGTTTGGCTTAAATCTAAAAAAGACTTGGAAAATATTTTCTACCGTTTGGTACAGAAATCAAATCCTCCATACACTACTTTTAATAATTTTTTTATATTTTAAAAATCGATTTCTAATTATTTTTAATTAACTTTTTTCTTTTCTTTTTATTTTTTTTTATCTTCTTCTCCGACTGGTCGTCAGCCATGGCGAATGCCGGTGACTGGCCACAGGTGAGCTCAAGCGTTGCTTGAGGGCGACAAGGCTCGAGCCTTGCCAGATCGGCGACGCTCGATTTGGCAAGGCCCGAGCCTTGCTGCCCTTAGGTGACACTCAAGCGGTGCTGATCTGGCACGTTCGAACCTTGTCGCCCTCAGGCAACACTCAAGCTCACCTATGGCCGGTTGCTGGCCTTCGCCGTAGCCTATGGCCTTCGCCATAGAAGAAGGTAAAAAATAAAATAAAATAAAAGAGAAAAAGAAAAAGAAAAAATAATTAAAAATTGAAAAGAGGAAAACATTTTCCACACTTTTGAAGGTGTTTTGTCCATTGAGGGAAAATGTTTTTCATGGTTAGTTTATTTTTCATGAAACGAATGCTGGAAAACAATTTTCCGAAAGTTATTTTTCTTAAAACGAACGAAGCCTTCGTTGTTACTTTACAAAGTAATTTGCTTGCTCATGCTCATTTTAGAATTATGATGCAAATGAGACTATAGAATTACTCCATTTGTTGATAGGAAATCAGACTGCTGGATTAAACTTTATTAGAAAAGTAATGGTATGACACTTAAGTTTTGCACCCTTCTCTTACCAATTTTTTTGTCTTAAGTTGGGAAATTTACATAAACAATACCACAATAATAAATCATCCCTCAAGTTCTTGCCATTGATTTGTGTCAATTGCATTGGACATATAAGAACTTTCGTGTTTTCCATAAAGTCATCACTTTGGCGTCTGGCGTCTCTTCTTCTCGATGTCTTCTAAAGTCCAAATCAATCTCAAGTGACGGTCACAACCACCGCAAGGAGGCCGTTGTTGGCTGGCAACCGCCCCGAGGCGGTCGCACCACCAGAGGTGATCTTGGTAATTTCATGTAAGAACATGTTTTTCTTTTGTCATGATTAATCTAGTAATATCGATGTCGATATATACCAAATGTCCATCCACATATCATATGTCTATAACTATATGATATGCAAACATTCTTCAAATTATACAAAGAAAACTACAAATCTTAGCTTATTCTTTTCCTATCCGATCTTATCTTATTCGGTAAAAATGTAAAGGGATCAATATCGGATTCGTATTAAATATAAAAAAAAACAAGCAAATCTCTTCCAACTTTGATATTCCACCTTCATATCATTTTTGAGTCGTTTCTCTTTTTTCCCTCCGATTCATTTTCCTCTGCAATTATCCACATCTGCTATGCCTCATGTTAATCACTCGAATATAATTACATCTCCAGGTGACCCAAGTGAAGCAGAACAATGGAACTTTAAAGGGAAAAGAAAAATCGAAGGTGTTTCCTGTTATATACACCAGGTATGGAAAAATTTTCTGTTCATTCTTGAGCCCACAGGAAATAGGTAAAAACCTAGTGACAGTGAACGTAAACGGGGACTACAGTGCATGGGGAAGGTTCTGAATCTTGTCTCCAATTAGAGTTTCTTCGGGGCCATTGCTGCACGGGCGATATCTTGAGTCAGGAAGACGAAATTAAACCATCGGAACAGAGCAGTAGGATGATAGTTACCTGAGATGGCTCAAAGCGGACATCCGGTAGAGGCAGATGAAGACCAGAGCATGCAACCCAATAGTGTAGAAGAACGCAAAAGTTCGGGCGTACCTGCAACACCGAATTTTTCTTTAGTACAGCCTCGCCAATATCAGAAAAGGGAATGACAAAAGAGCAATGCCATGCCAGGGATGCTGAAAACAGAGTCGCGGAACCATACTTGTTTCCCAGAAGGAACCGTCCACTGCTAAGGGTAATTTTATCCCTGAAACCCAATTCTTTGTATCTTTGATCCCTTTCCTGCTCATACCAAAACTTTGTTGCATTAGATAGTCTCCATTTCAAGTATCATTTATAAGACAACTGATTGTAGCTAAATCACACATTGAAGCAGAAAAGAATTTCCTGATAGGATGCTGGCTCGATGGCTCCCCAGGTCTAGAACATTCATGGTCATTTTATGTTGCGGAACGAGCGTCTGTTTGAGTTCTCTCTCTCTCTCTCATATTTTCCAATTTATCATCCAAATTGATCATCAAAATTGGATTATCTGCATGGACTTCATTCATCATTTAGGAAGAGTTACAATGCAGAATCACTATTGTACATTCATCTGTTGGTGAGTGCTCAGTACAAGATGGTCTTTATCCCTTGTTTGGGAGAAAGTAAAGGTGATCTACAGAAAAAGATAAAGTAGAATTTTCCATTGTCTGGAAGAAGAAAGAAAATTATGAGAGAAGGAAAGGAAATCTTAACTAGGGCCCACAAAACATGATCTCTTCAAATCGGAGAGAAGAGTGGAAAGGTGAGTCATTTTACTTTTAACCTTCGAAATGACATTCATACAATTACTTGAAGGACAAAACTGCGGTTTCCCTTTCAAATTTGAATTTTTCCTTTCATTCCCGTCCCTTCTATTTCCTCTCAATCCAATCAAGATTACAAGAAAAATAATTTCTCTATCTCCAGTTCAACTTTTTACTCATTCCTTTATTTTCTTTAGTTTCATGCTTTTCTCAAAAAACAGGACCAAGATTGCTGGAAGATGATGATGGATAGAATTACGAGCAAAGAACTTAACAAGAACCATAAATCAACCATTAATTGCTAAAGGAAAATATTATGTAACCAGATCACATTGAGCCCTACTGAAGGCCCGATGAATGCAAGTAATACTAATAAGAACAGCTCGAGAAAAACCTTTTTTGAAAATGCTGCAAATGGGTTGATGTCATCCTCATATATCTTCTTATACTTGGATTCAACATCTGAGCTGAAACCACTTTCAAGATCTTCAGAGTGCTGTGGGTTTTTTTAAAAAGAAATTCTCAGTTAGAAAAGAACAATTAACTGTAAGATGAAGGTAACTATACAGAGCTGCAGGCTCCCACCTTCTTTGATCCTCTAGAAACCACTTTCTCGAGATTGTAATCTTGGACATATCGGATCTTCCCGTAGAGTTTGACATTATCAGCTTTTGTTTTCTCCAGTTCCACTGTTAGCATGCTTATCTTCTCCTTCAACTGCCTTGTTTCCTGATACAATTTGACATCCACTAAGTCTCAATCCCCATATAAATGGTCTAGAAAAGATGGAAATTATATCACAGAATTGGCAGAACAGGGCTAAAACTATGTAGGGGAAAGTACCTCTTCTGTCTCTCGCAATCGCGCTCTAAATCGGTCTCTCTGATTGATGATCACCTTTAGCATTGAGCTTTGCTCCTGATCTGGCGAAATGCGTTCGGCACCCTGCTGGAGAAAAAAAAAAGGATTTCAAGAAAATGTCACGAACTAGAGATCCCCATGATCTGATAAGAGTACTATCAGTGAGAATATTTGGCTTGACTCTGCATTTCTGCAGATAAAGATGTTGGAACAGGTTTGTTTGAACTGCAGTTCAAATCTGCACCTAAGGTTTGTCAATAAGGGCTTGAATCTGCACAAAGATACTACAATCAACATGCAGCAGAAGTGGCAAAAGACTAAGTGTGATTGTCCTCAGGCTCCATGGTTGTCCATTAGATAGATTTCTTCAATGTCGTGCTTTACAGGAAATAGACACTAGACAGCATGATCAGGCTAACCCAGGCTCAGTCATCTACATTTCAATATAACCAGAGTTGGCCCAGCTGGCCTATTGATCAAGTCATGTGTATGTGTTAGCGAGGAGAGGTCAGGGAGAGTGTTAAATAACAGACATTAACTACTCAGATCAAACTTGGAAATTTGTACATCATTTATTCAGTATGCAATGCATAATAGCAGTGTCACAATTTGATATGCAGCAGAGGTGGACAAACATTTTAATAACAACGCGGATTTCAAATGCGGGGTATACCCTGAGAATTGACAGCATATGGAATTTCATTGAAATACTTAAAATGGCAAATATGAGAGGTACCTCAGATTGCTGACTTGCACCTGCCTCTGAAAGATCCCATTCATCAAATAAAGAGCCCTTACGATCTCTGGAACTATAACCCTGCATGGAGAAAAATCTCCATTAATGAAATTGAAAGGCACATAGCAGTTTCAAGTTTCACAAATTTGTTGATGCAACCTTCAAAATATCATCCTCCAACTTCTGGATTAATTTCTGTTGCTCATTAACCTTTGCTGCAAGTTCTGTGACCTTGCCTACAGCAGCTTCTAGCGAAGACGTTCTCTCCGAAAGTTTGACCTAATCAAAGTGTCATGAGCAAGCTATTTGCCATTAGGCAAAACAATTTTTGAAAGACTGGGCTTCCACAACCATCTAATGTTCCACACAATATTAGAAGGGAGAACAAAAAATTAGCTACTTTTCCAAAAATAACTTAGAAAAAAAAATAACAAGTACCTGTAGATAACAAGTTAGAGTATGTCCTAACAAATAAGTTTTATCACCTTCCGTGCGAAAAGTTCACGGAAATAGTGGAAACTAGACACGAGTAAAACTACCTTTAACTGGGTAAGTTGATGTTCCATCCTCTTGTTCTTGTCAAGAAGAAGAGACTCCATTTTGCTCATCTCTTCCCCACTAGTAGCTACTTCCCAATCCTCAGCCTCAATTGAATTATAACCCACTGCCTAAATTGCAATAAGGAGAATGAAACCAAGACACCATCAGCAATGCAAAGTAATCAAAATCCTCAAGATCGATAAAGGCTCAGCAAATAACCACAAATAGCTGACGGAGGTATGAATCCACAGTAGGTTGTTCTCGAGCCACATACACAAGAAGTTATGTTGAAGACATGATGACTAAAATGGAGCACGACACAAAGTCTTATAAAAGATGCATGACCTCAAAATGGATTTGCTCAATTAATCTCACCAATAAATTGAAACACTGAAACAAAAGTTACACACTTCTTAAAAACTTATGTGATAACCAAGATAGAAGGATATTGTCTTCCTTTTTGGCTAAGCAAGAGACAAGGATTGTCCCTTCTACTTTTAAATGCAATATTCCTGGGATTGGGTTTAGACTGATCCAGTTAAGTTTTTGGAGGAGGGAGAACTATTCAGATGCTTATTCCCTACATGATCTGAATATCCACATGAAAAAACTCATGGGATTGTTTTAAGACTAAATCATGCGTTTTTGCTATGACCTTTGAATAACAGCAAATGCTCCTAGGAGTTGCAATAACTTGCCAATACTCAATAAAATTTTCAATATTAATCCCCTCCTCATTCTGACAATTAGATGAGGCTATCTTTTGACATGAACAGTCATCAGATCATGTACATGCATATATACCTGTAAAATCTTCACTTTTTTGCGCAAATCATCAACCAACTTTGCCGTTGGCCTGGCTTTAAGTTCTTTCTTCATCTCCTCAAGAGCTTGATCCTAATTGCATTTAGAGGACAAATAGATAGTAGAGCAATCAGTACTGCAAATGTGTAAAAGCATTTGGAGAAATGCTTGCCATTGTTAGCACAAAATATTTGTTTTTAAGTAGCAATTAGTCAACAATGGAGGCCCTCTCAAAAGAAAATATCTTAGGATATGATATTATCGAATCAAGAATGCTAATCTCTCTCTCTCTCTCTCTCTCTCTCTCTCTCTCTCTCTCTCTCTCTCTCTCTCTTAAAGGGTATAAAATGAAAGGGGGTAAAAAATGCTCAGATCCTCATGTAACACGACAATGGTCTTGCAGCACGTGATATGACAGTTAAATTAATCTAAACCTGAAGGATGGCTTTCAAGAATACCTTTACGCAGGTCCGTAAAGGATATCTATCTGCAGAAACTTCTATATGAGGGAGAAAAAATAGCAGACTGATATACCTTTTCAATTAGAGCTGCATTCAATTTCTTAATCTCATCCATGTACTGTTCACGCTCGGCAGACAAAGTGGTCTCGATATTGTGAAGTTCCATATTCAGCTCAGAAATAATCTTCTCTTTGGCACTCAAAGAATTCTCAAGGATACTGGTTGAGTCCAAACTGTCACTGCAAATTATTTCACAATCCATTACATAATGAAACTCGAAAGATGCCACACAAAAGGAAATCATTCTGATTGATGAACTTATGACTATTGACGGAAAAGAACAGATTATCTGACGAGGTTGAATTTAAGAGAATCCATATTGTACAACAGACTCTTTAAGGTGAAAATTCATAATTAAAGTTTATTCCATATCCTTGTCCAGCAGCCTCAAAGTTCAACTGTAAAGTCCTCCACTAGGCAAACACTAGCAAAGAATTGCCTGACCATGTTATGTTTTAGAGATCACAAGAGAGAGAGAGCAGGAGAGAAAACACAAAGGGCTAGATATTTTTTAAAATCACTGATACTACCAAATGTACTCAATATTACTTACTATTCTTCAAGACCTTACATATCCACAGGAATCACCAAGAGATATTTATTTATCTACAATTCTATGAACTTTTTCACACAGATTCATGTTTAAAAGTACCCAAGTGCAGTTACTTGATAAAAGGTTGGATTTCCAAAAATTAATAACACATCCAACAAATCCTCTTTGAAAGTTATTTTAGCATGAAGTTCGTTGTAACACACAGATGAAGTATTTTCCTCTCAATTCCATCCACTGTAGCTCACCTATTCTTAGATCCAGGTTCATCATGTGCTGATTGAACTTGAGATCGCAGAAGTTCCTGCAATGATCAAAGTTGTACACAAGAGAATCAATATGCAATTTTTTCCATTCCTCTGTGTAAAGTTTGTATATTGCATATTCTCACAGGAAACACTACAACGATAACTGAAGACTTCACCTGTGCGACAGAAATATAGCATAATGCAGAAACCATACATCACCTTGCAAAATCTTATACCAACATTTCCACTGTACAAGAGCACATGCCATGTAAAACGCATTATGGAAACTTCAAAATCATAACCCTCATTTTGCTCCTATTCTAACAAACACGTATATGTGTATTGCAATTAAATGATTGACAAGAAAATAAACAGCTAGAGGTATGACCTTAACTGTCAGACAACTATAGCTGAAAGCTAGGTTTCAGTCTTCCTTGCCTGGTCGGATGACTTTCTGCTTGGGGAAGGAAGAGAGGGGGGGTGGGGGGAAGGGTTGAAAGTGTGTAGAAAGTGGAGGAAAATCTAAAATTTTTGTGAGAAGGAGGGGATGGAAAATTTCAAATTCCCCCTATCGGAAAGTTTCGAAATTCCCCCCGTTTCCAACACCCACTTTCATTTCGCCCGCCCACCCCCACCCCCCCCGCCTCCTTTCCAAAAGAGTGCATAAAGTTCACAAACATCCTATTGTGAATTCATAAATTTTCTTAATGAGACAGAAAAAGATAATTATGAAAGTAGACTAACTAGTAAAAACGTATAGAAAATTATCCAAGAGAACAAGGGGCAAATAAACATTGTTGTGGAGAAACATAAGAGTCAATGTAAAATTTAACAAGGCAAAAAGACCTCAATTTATTAAATCCTACTAGCCAAGAGAACACAGAGATTTATCCAGGAAATTGCCCATAGCTAAGGAAACTGATTGGGCCACAGGCATGGAAGAGCACCTTTTCCCTTTCAAGACTAAGAAGCCGTGTTTGGGCCCTTTCAACTTCATCCATCAAAAGAGTGACCTCTGACTGCTTTGCTGCTCGATCTTCATCTGTAAAAATTGTATATGTTACCAGACAAAATGGGAAGAATATTAACAGTAAAAACAGGATAATTGGACGTTTAGTCTTATGTTACTATCTCTATGCATAAAATAATCTCATCATCAGATAAGGAATGCCAAATCTAATTTCTCTAGCCAAGCATAATACCTGATTGAGCACGAAGTTCAAACAATTGACTCTGTGCAAGATCATGCAACTTTTGTATATTGGAAGCACTTTCTCTGGCTTGTCTCAGTTGATCTTGCAGTAATTGCTCCCTGCAGAAAAATCAGAAACTGAGGTATGCTGCGTGCGTTTGGGAGAGAAGAACGATAGTTTGCTATAAGAACATGCCGAAGCTAAAAGAGGAACTTAACCCCAGTTCTTTGACACTCTTCTAATCAGTAATTAATTTAAATGATGTATTTGTCATGTTGAGGAGAAGATATAATACCTTTCCTTTAAGACTTCAAGGGTTTTTTGATTCTCCTCAGCCAAGTTGCGTTTGTTAATTTCCACAATTTCCTTCACTTTTTCCTCCATCTGGACACAGCACCAATCAGTAACAACAAATAAGACTTGCTTGTCTGAGTCAATAACTAAATTGTAAGAAAGTAAGTTCCACCCTTAGACAGTCCCAAGCGTAAAGGTAACTAAAGCTTAAAAGGGAGCAGACCTCAACATCCTAAGTAGTTAAGTAGGCACATTACAGCACATATCACAAAAACATATAAAAAATAATTAACAATTTTAAAACCTGCAGCTCTAACTGGCGATTACGCTCTTCAAGTCTTCTAATTGTCGCTTGTTGATTCTTTAAATGAGCAGCTTCTGTCCGGAACTCCTCAAGCTCAACTTTCATCTTCCGATTCTCGGCTTCTAATTCCGAAAATTTCAAGTCTTGTTCCTGCATGCAGACAGGGCAAAACTCCTCAGAAGACAAATGTGCAAAAACAGAAAGAACTACACAGAATAAATCTCAATGCCACTCCAGCAATGGTATAAACATATCTGGCGGTTTGTAAATATATCGAACACTGAAAATGCTTTCCCCAATTTCTAAAAGAGGACAGTTTTAGCATAACGGAATGTAACTATGGATGATTGATCCTAGATGAGACAGTTATGCCTATATAGATACCTCAGCTAAATGAGAAAAGATACCACTCATTCATTATCAAAGTGACAGATGCATATGAAGGTAGCCACCAATCCAACAGGCACCGGATGACAAAATAATGAAGCCGGTACTTACGGTAACTGAAGCAAGAGCAGGATAAGGATCTGGAGCCTCATATAGTTTTTGGTATATGTTAAGAAAAGCATTTTCTCCAAATTTGGCTCTTTTGGTAAGATTATCAACTTCTTCTTGATATCCCTTGAGCAAGGAGTTGAACAAATTTAGCTTTTCCTCTGGAGAAGCTTTCTTGAAGTCTGGAGCAGGAAAAAAACAGATATATAAGAGCAAGTTTTTCTTTTATCATCATCAGGACTAGCGATTTACCCAAAAATGCAGAATCTACTTCTCTTACAAAAACTGCTAGAGTAGAAGAATGTACTTCTCTTACATTTAATTAAATTAGAAGAACTAAAGAACATTCGCTCTTGCACCTTTACAAGTTCAAGTGACATACCTCTAGTGCTCTCTGCAAGCTTGCGTCGATTCTTCTGACTGTTCTCTTGATTCTCAGCAATCCTCAGCCCTTGCTCATCCAATACGCTCTTCTCCTTCTCAAGATCAAACTCTACGAACAGGAAAAGAAGGGGGAAGTCAATATTACTCCCCGTAACTCGATTCGGACAAAAACAGCAATAACACAAAACAAAATGCGATCATTGCTACATAATGCTTAGCTCGTAAAAAGGAAACTTTAAAACAATGTCATCAAGAATCAGTGATAACATTTTCACATAAGTTATTAGGCGGAAGCGGGAAAGTACCCAATAAAGAAGACTACATGACGATTTGTTCCAGTAACTGGCACACTAATTTGGTAATTCAATCAAACTCACTCAGTTTAACATCACACCACTGACAACTATAGAAGCATTTATTCCACCATTGAAGAACTGAGCTACCCACTTTACCCGATTCTCTCCGACACAAGTAGAGTGCTGCCGATTGCTAACTCGAGCATGGTAAGCTCAAATTCGACACCAAAACAAGGAAACAACGCACAGGACAAGCTACGCTAATCTACAACACACACAACACGACGAACAGTTGACTCAATTCGCGACACTAACAACTGGAACATAAGATTCCACAATCAACAGCACCACAGCAAGCTCCTCGCGCGCATCAATCACGGGACGTATCACGTCGCAGGACCTAAAAAATGCGGCTCGATGTCCGAGAGATTCGCGAATGTATGCACTCAACGCGAAGGGGGGAAGAAAGGGGACAGTTGAATCGAACCTTTCCAGAAGCTCGAGACGACGGTGATCGGCGACGATTTGTCCCTCTCGCCGGCGGCGCCGCCGCCGCCCTGGGAGGCCTCCATGATCGAATCTGGGATCTGAACTGCGAAGCTCTGCGGGCGTTCCGTCGAAGAAGAAGATCTCTCTCTCTCTCTCGTTGCTTCCGCTTCAATTCAGCGCGGGATCTGACGCCGTGCGTGTCGATCAGAATCGGCACGATGAATTCTCGTTTTTGTATTTCTTTTTTCTTTTTTTCCTTTCTTTTGTTTTCCAAATGTTTTTCTTTTGTCGCGAAATGTATACATCGGATGGTTGGGCTCGAGGGAGCCCAAACGACACGTGGGCTGCGTCGTTTTGATGACTTGGTGAGAGAGAGAGAGAGAGAGAGAGAGAGAGAGAGAGAGATGGGTTAGGGTTTATGATTAGCTTGCTTAAAAACTCGATGACGGTTCGCCACATCATTTATGGCACAAGATTTTAATGAATTCGCAGAGCAAATGTCATTTTTGAATTGAGAATAGACTTGTCAAAATGGATCACAAATTTATTTATTAACCCATATTTAATGGGATAAGTTATGAGTTAGCTATATTCAATAAATGGGTTTAGAATGGTAAAATCCAAAAAAACATGGGTGTTAAATGGGTTTACAACTTACTTATATTCAACCCACTTTTATGACTTTCTCTCGCCCTACCTCGATCTTGCGCTCGCTCACTTCATGCTCTCACCTTAGTTTTGAGATGATTTTTCCAAGATTTAGTTAAATATATAAGTGTTTTAGCAATATAAGTCGAGTCGGGTATGATTATGGATATCATTAGGTCAGGTATAGGTCACTAGATTTATATTGCATAAAAATGGGTCATAATGGGTTAAATTAGTCAATTTGGGTCAAGCCGTTTTCATCCCGACCCACCCGTTTGACAGGTCTAATCAAGAAGTAGGCTTGTTTGATATACTTGGGCTGCCCCAATGATGCTCTTGCTAATAGCGTGTTAGAGGAAAATAGAGGTTATAAGTCTGGTTCTTGTCGAGAGATCTGTACAAGCCGCTAACTGAAAGAATCATTTATTCGTCTTTAAATTAGGGAGATCTTGAGTTCACCAATTAGGGGCGAGTCCTAGTGACATGATATTGACCCTGTTTGGTTCAGCATTTGGAATGGGCTTTAAGGCTCTAAAGTCCTTTGGCCAAATGCAAATGGCACTTGATTCGTTTTTTGGAGAACTTTGGGGAAATGCAATTGCATTTTCAAAGGTCTTTAAAGGCCTTTAGCCCAAGACAAGTCTAGAGGTACTTGGAAAGTTGCATTCTCAGAATGCAAATAGATTTTATTTTTCTTCCAACTTCGCCCTTGCTCAACTTTCATAATTCAAAAAATGTCCTCGAAAACCCCAACCTGCTAGCGAAAACTTCAGCTACTGGTGAGCGGCCGACGAGCCATTGACGAGCCACCGCCAACCTCGCCTGTTGCCTAGGTCCCATGCGACTATTGCCTAGGTTGCGAGACCCAGACAAGGCTGTCTAGGGGCCGATTTGGCTCGCTAGCAGCTAAATTCCATTGGCAAATAGTTTGAGATAAAAGTTGATAATCATGCCAATTAAGGATCATATATTATAAAGAAGAAGGTAAGTTTAATGGAACATATTATTATCTAATTGGATAAAGTTGATAATCATGCCAGTTAAGGATGGTGTATTATAAAAAAAGAAAGTTGGTAAGTTTAACAGGTTAGTAACAGGGCAAATAAAAGTTGGTAACTCAATAAAAAAAATTGGTAAATTGAATAATAAATAAATAAACATCGATGAAAAACTAAAATGACACTCAGTAAACCACTACTTAGTGATAACCTAAACTAGTAAGTCACATAAATAAATATCAGTGAATTTATACAAAAGTTGATAAATTTAAAGCATTTTGCAAGAGAGATAAATAATGATAAGTGATAACAAAAGTTGATAAATTAAAAAAACTAGATTAGCGTTGGTAAGTAATGAAATAAAAGTTGGTAATCCAAAAACTAGTTGGTAATTTAATTAAATAAAAAAATTTGCAAGTCATTCAAATAAGGATTAATAAATTTATATATGAGTTGGTAAATTTAATGCAATAGTAAGAAAAACCAATAAAAACCAGTAAAAGACAAAAAAAGTTGACAACTGGTGAAATACTGAAAGAGTTATAATTTCATAAAAGTGTCGCTGCGTTACCATCAACTTACAGAAAATAAAGTGACCGATTTTAAAACAGAGAAAGTGAATAGTGAGGCCAGAGAAGAATTATAACCAGGGGAGTTGACTCGAATTTGTCTACGACATTCTTTGTTTTGTAGCTTAGAAGGGTATACTTATCCATGTTCTATCTATAATATAAGAAGAATTACGAGAAAAAAAGAACACATATCATAAGCTTAACTTGTTTTCATACGTATGTCCCTCTTCAAATTAAAACATATCCAATTCCAACATCCAATCCAACAAATCAGAACAGAAAGGGTGATCACTAGAGACATTCAATCATTATTTTGGCAGAAAAAGGAAAAGCACACAAACTAGGCGACTCTTTCAACTTTTAAGCTGACTATCGTAAACTCTCTCGAGGTTCATATTTGCGCCAAATGCATGCGAACAATCTGTGGATAGGATCGGATGGATCTCTAACAGTAACGTTAACGACCCATACCCGGTATCATCGAAGCCATTGTCGCGGCACCTTGGTTCATCTTCTCAGCATTGGCCGCCCAACCTTTATCACATCATTGTTAGAGTTGGCGAATACTTCGGGGACTCTTGTTTCTCATATCGGGCACGCTCACGTGAGCTTAGGGAAATCGAAGTATAATCCGACGACATGTGACCCCTGCGCACGGAATGCGGGGGTTCGGGGGCAGCGCCCCCAAAACGGGGGTCCCGCTGATCGGACAGCAGGCGGGGGTTCCGCTCCCCGGTGAGCGGACGGCGGCCCCACTCGCGGGTGAGCGGGCGGGGGCTCGGGGGCAGCGCACTCGAAACAACATCGGGTTTGCTGCCCCGTTTGTTGTGGGATTAAAGGGATTCGGATAAGCTTGGACTTTGGGCCCATTTTAAGTTCTATATATATTGTACTCGTATGAGAGATCATTGTAACGAGTGGTTGTGGTTGTAAACCCTAAATATCATAGTGGAATCCCTTTGCAGGACGTAGCCCTATTCGGGGGTCAACCTGGGTAAACTTGTGTGTCAATTTTTTTATTATCTGTGTGATTGTTCTGATACTGTTTCGGATATAAGCCCATCCATCATGAATCGCGAAAAGGAAAAACTTAAGTCAGTTCATTGATCAAGTACCTGAACTAAGACAAAAAGATTTGAACATAACCTTAGTTTGTTCTGATACTGTTTCGGATATACCAACAAGTAATTTTTCACCATCAAGAAGACGGAAATTGCCATCAATTCATATTGAGTATGTTCTTCGGCATTTTGAGACGTGTAGCAATAACAAATGGTACATGTTCTTCATCAGCATTAGCTTGATAAAGCAAATATGGTAAATAGAAGAAAAACAGGTGATCGCGATTCTATCTCGAAAGAACTTTTACCAATGGAAGGGTCAAATCCGCGGTTTTTGAGCTCCCTATGTTCTTGGCAAAGAGCACAGTAGGTGCAACACCAGTGCACGAGGCAATCGGCACGGATCTTCTTGCAACGAGTGTACATCCCTCAATTTTTTCCGGTAGCTGCACGTATACAGGCACCCGACGCCCATGTAAGTGAGCAAGTAGTAGGTGAGCCCGCCCATGAAACAAGCTGCAAAAGTAAATTTTGCGCACACATACGTTCTCATTAGGCTTAAACTAACTATGTAGGTACAGTTAATCATGATTATATGGAGAAGATCTGGTATATATGGAGTGTGTTTCGAACTTAAACTTACAAGTGGCTCCTCGGTCTATGATTTCTGCGTTCTAGCCGAAGGTGATGCAAGGACAGCAGCAAGTGACGATGCCTACGGAAACGAATACAGAAATTAATAACACTAGAAAACTTTATCAGAACGATGATATATTACTTGTTGGTTCATCAAAACTTTTAAAGCAGACAACAAATATCAAAGGCTTTCTACTCATGTATACATTCCGTTAATTTGCGAGATGTCCGTCAAATTAGGTTGAAAGCACTTACAGTTGGAGGGATCTTCGCAGCAACCGCAGAGACCCGTCATCCACTTCCTGGGGACCGCCCCCTCCGGAAGGCCTTGGTCGATGAGCATGGGCGTTTGCATTATCGGTGGCGGAAGAGTCTCAAAAATGTCTCTGCCCGAAGAAGAGAAGACGGTCGAGAAGAGCAGAGAACAGGAGAGAGTCCTGCGTATACCATTGTGGTTTTTTCAGTCGTTTTATAAGCAAAAAGTCCTCGGAATTCTCCATGGTCAACGAAGGAAAGAATAATGAATCCAAGTCCATTGGTTTCTCCTCAAAGAACAGCGGGATATGGCGGCAATCTCATCAGCAGTTGTGTGTACGTATGCGTGAGAGAGACAGAGAGGGAGAGTGAAGGCTTGAGGTTTCTGAGGAAACTAGAATACTTCTTGAACCGGTTTTGACTTCCATGTTTCTTTTTTGTTTCATGTTTTTGTGCTTTGGTTTTTGACTTCTATGTTTCCCTTTCGTTTTTTGTTTTTGTTCTTTGGTTTTTGACTTCTATGTTTCCTTTTTTGCAAGCTCAAATTTAGGGACAAATTCAGGGGAGGGCCCGCCGTTCTTTGCACTAATGCGAACAAGACACAATTAAATCCTCTAATCCAAATTAAACCTGAATTAATTAAATCATCTAACCTAAAATCCCAACAAGTGAATTTTCTTGAATATGAAAGAAGAAAAAAATAAATTAAATATCGAAATATAGATAATTGCAAGTAAAATATCCCTAACTAAAAAGAAACCGTTAACACTACAAAAAAACATGGATTTTGTCACGGAAATTTGCGACGGGGAATTTTTCGTCGCTAATTTGCGACGGAATTTGCCACGAAATAAAAATTCGTCGCAAATTTACGACGGAAAATAAATCCGTCGCAAATTTGCGACGGAAAATAAATCCGTTGCAAATTTGCGACGGAAAATAAATCCGTCGCAATATTTTCCGTCGCAAAATCCGTCGCAAATTTGCGACAGATTCCAAAAATTGTATTGCATTTTCCAATCTGTCGCAAATTTGAGACAGATTTATTTTCCGTCTC